TCTTACTTGAGTCCAATTAAATGTAGTGCTTGTCCTCTTGGAGTCATTCCTTAGGTCGTTGAATTCTCTACACTGAGGGAAACTCCCGCTCAGTCATGAGGTTAGGTGACAAGTCCCAAGTCACGCTGCTGCCTGGAGACAGAAGGTGTGGTTCCCACGCCTGAAATAGGCAAAGGTGATACCTCGGCCAGGGCTCATTCTGTTGCCCCTCCCCCCTCTCCTTCTCGTGCATAGTTGTGGGTCATGTTGAACCTCGGGGGACCTTGTGAGCCCCCTGTTGTGATGGCAAGGTGAGACAGAAGCGAGAAAGCTTTGCTGACATTTCATGGGCCGAAAGAGGACTTGGAGATGCTGCTGGGCTCTCTGTGGAGCTGAGAGCTGAGCTGGGACCCAACACACTGGCCTGAACTTTAGAAAACTCTATCTGTAGCTGCAGCATCCATACCTGGTCCTGGCAGCTGGGGTGGAGCGAGGTGCGGGCAGCCGTTGGGGCAGGACCTGGGCCTCCAGTCTGCCCAGAGATTCACTGTGAGTGCTTCCACCTCAAGACTTTTGAGGACAGACGCCCAAAGGAGATGATTGTGTAAGGGAAGGTACAGGGGGTTTGTCGTCTAAGCAATGGGGTGTGTGTGTGTGTGTGGGCGCAGGAGGTAGCAGCTGGTCGTGCATGGCTGTACGATGAGGGGGTGGGGGCGTGGTCGGGAATGACACCTTTATAAACAACAGGGTCCTGCGAACTCAGGACCACGTACTCCACACTGAGGAGTTTGAGTCTGTTCCTTGCAAACCATTCTCTGTTGTGACACCTATAGAGCAGGTCCAGGACAGTGGTGCCCACGGGCAGGTCGAGTGTCCTCATCTACTCTATCGAATGGCCACATTTCGTTTTGAATATTCTTTGCTTATAAACCTCTAGGGCAGAGGTGCGGAGATCAAATCCCAAACGGGGACAATCGCAACCTGACTTCGTGCAATTTTATTCTTTTCAAGTGGAGCAATTCCCATTACCGAGCCATCTAAGAAAGTGAGAATAAACTTGTATACCCTTGCGAGAAATTTTATAAAAACACTTTAACACATACATTTATATAATTATTAAACGCTTTAACAAATATATATATTTATCGAATGCTTTGTAAGGCATCATTTGATTTCGAAACAGAATACATTCTTTAAAAATAATGTTTAAGCCGGGTATTCTATATTTATTGCAGGAAAAATAAAGAAGATAGAGTTTAATGAAAAAGAAAAAAAGTATCTAAAAATCTCTACCACCCTTTCCTCAAAGATAACAGTCACCATTCTGCTGCATATCCCTCCAGAATTCTTTCTGTGGATATATTTATATTTCTTGGCAAAATATAATTATAGTGCAATCGTGTTTTTTAAACTTTTCAATTTAGTCCACTTCGAGCATCGTTTCGTATGAATTAATAGATTCAGCAGTGTCACGGGATCTGAATATCGTATATACACATGATATTCTGAATATCACAGGATCGCCCCCCCGCTTTCTCCCGTTGCTGGGCATTTAGGCTGTTCTGCTGCTCCAAGCAACTCTGCCAAGAACATCCTCGAAGATAAATCCGTGTGTACATCCTCTATTTTTCCCTTAGGATAGATTTCTAGAAGTAGAACTTTTAGTTCAGAGAATAGGCATGTATGTTTTTAAAAAAGACATCTAAGATGTAATGCCGAATTATTCCCCAGAAAGGTGGTGGCGATTTTCACTCCGGCCGGCGGTACGGGAGAATGGCCGCTCCACCGATCCGAGCTGAGAATTTTAGGGCGGGGAGAGGACAGGTCGAGGAATTGGTCCCTGGGGTCTTGCCCATGGTCCCCTTAAGGGAAAATTAAATGAGCCGCGACAACCCTGGGCCTGGCAAGAGAAACTATTAACAGGTACACCGAGGGACGGTGGAGAGCTCGGACGTCTTTTGTCGGCTGCTTTCCTAAGATGCCATTTCGCCATTTTAACGTGAACCTAGTGACTTTCTGGAGGATGTTTGTGTGTATCATTTTTAGAACGTCTGGTTCCACCATTAAGAGAAGAAAATGCATTTCCAGAGTGAATTCATTTCTAGGAAGTAGTGACACGAAAAAATAGCCCTCCGGTGTTGTTAAAAGCAGAGCAAACAAAACAGCCAGAAGCAACGTTTGGCCACTGGGTGTCCAGCGGCGGGGTTTATGGGAACTGCCTCGGGGTCGGGGGGGCTCCGTCTGAGAGGTGTCCAGCTGTCCTCTGTGCAAAATCGGACACAAAGAGGGCTTGACCTGAGGCTGTCCTGAGACCACCGGACGCTGTGTTTCTGTGTAATGAGGAATCCTGACCTGCCATGAGAAAATGTAAAAAAAAAAGGCCCGTGAAAACAGTCTGGGGTTTGGAACATTTTATCCCTGAAAGCCCAGAGCCGTAAACTTCAGTAAGCGGGACGAAGCGAACCGTCCCACAAACACAGACTGACAAAACGTTCCCCGTGTTTGGGTGGCGAGGCGCAGGCACACCTCTCTGCCCACCCCGCCGTTCGAGTTTTTGTAGATGTCCTTGTCTTCACAGCAGAGCCAGAGTCCTCTGCAGTGCTCAGATTCTGTGCTGCACCTGCCGATTGAGTGTGTGAGGGTGACGCTGTCGGCCGAAATCCAGAATGACTGGTAAAGTGGGTGACGCACGTGCCATGTGACCCCGCAATGCCACCTCTAGGCAGGCACCCTAGGGCGGCACGTGCCCAAGCTTAGCGTGTGCCCGCGTCACCGAGGAGCTTGTGGAAATGCAGACCCTGACTCTGCAGGTCTGGGATGGCATATTTCCAGACAGCTCCCAGGTTACACCAGTGCTTCTGGTCCCGAGGTCACAGTCTGTGTGGTGAGGCCCAGGGGTTGGGGGGATGGTCTGAATCTCGGCTGCGCTTCAGAATTACCCGGGGAGCTCTTCACGGCCCCTCAGCCCGGATGTGCCGCAGCAGAGCTAAATCGGGGTGTCCGCGGCTGAGAGCAGGTAAATCAGGGTGTCTGTGGCTGAGAGCGGGCAGTGGCAGCTCTTCCGTCTCTCTGTGACTCCAGCGTGGAACCCAGGCCTGGAGCGATGCAGACCGTCACATGCGCACTGGGAGGTGGACATAGGGATGCCCCCTGGATAAGTAAATCGACTGTATTCACATGGGGAGCCAAGAGCTGCTTACACGGCTGGCCATACCTTCGTGGGTGGACTTCCACCTGTCTCGAGAATACAGTGCTGAGCGCTCAAAGCAAATCAGATACCGCCGATGTTAACTTTAAGAACAAGACACTACATGTATATCTATTTGATAAGGTAAAAGTATTCAAATCTGATAAGCGCGAGGCACGTATCAACTTCGGTGGTTGTTTCTGGAGGCTGCAGGGGGCAGCGGCGGGGACCGGGGTGGACGTGGATTCTATGGGATTTGAAATCATTTCTATTAGAAGTTATGGAACAAGAACCGTATGATTTCAGTCATATGTGGGGTATGAAACAAAGCAAGAAACAAACAAATGAAATGAACTCACAGATACAACAGTGTGGTGGTTACTAGAAGGGAAGGGGGGTCGGGGGTGGACCAAGAAGGTCAAGGGGGTCAAATACAAGGTGGCAGGAGGAGACTAGATGTTGGGTGGCGAGCGCACCATGCGAGACACAGGCGATGGGTCGTAGAACTCTGCACCCGAAACGTACACGATGTGGTTAATGTTCCCCTAATAAATGTAAGTTTTAAAAAGATGAAAGAAG